TACGAAATACGCTTCAGTATAGTTCCTAACCTTACATTTCTACCGTCGTTCACCTATTTTGGAGACGAAAGCTCCCATAACAAGAGAACAAAGACGCTCCTTTAGTTTAGAATGGGGTATGGTGATGTTCAAACATCAAAGTGATTATGTAATTTAACTAGCTCTCTTTGCAAATGTAGCAACTACAAACTCACTAATGTTGCTTTATTGATAATACCTATTGTATCTTTGATGTAACGTTTAGTACTTTCGCGAGACTACTTGTCTATAGATGGCTGTAAATTTCAATGATTTGAACAATATTATGGAATAATTATTCAAAGGACGGGTGCATGTGAAACCATGCCCGACTTTGAATTAATTTGTATTTCCACTCCCTAGTGCACTTTGACATCAGAGAAGTTTCACGTCATCGTTTTATGAAAAGTACATGCTACCACTTCGAAACAAATTTTCCTGGCGCTAATTATACAGTTGACAACAAAGTCCATTATGTTGCGGTGCAGTTTTAGTGTCGAAATGTGTGAAAAAATAATCAGAATTAATCTGAACAATGGACGGCAACGACATGATATTAACACAGCAGCGATTTTCACTTTGACGTCTGACATTTGAAGATCATTGAATACGATTGTGGTATTAAAAGCATTAGGAGACGCACTCCGATTGTTTGATGACAAAACTACTTTAAGATTGCAGATTGTAGACACTGCCAGTGGGCTTTTAGTACCCCTGGTTTATCGTATTCTGTATGGCACGTTTTCATTCGTTCTGAGTATACAAGTGTACTTGGCATTATTTCAAAATTACCAGAGATATGGAAATTACGAAATTTATCTAATTACAAGACTAATACGACTCCTTGATTTTTCCCACTCATTTCCTAAGCTTTAACAACTTGAAGCCCTAAGTATCACTGATTATTCCGAAACAGTGGTACGACGTAATTTTATAGATTTGCATTGGCGGTGTTATTCACTTGTGAGTCGTTTGTCCACTCTACTTCTACATACACTTTTGGCCATGTCCGTCCTGTACGACATGAAAGTAAGAAAGAAAGGTATGATTACAATGAAAACAAACCTTATGTAGAGTCACATCAACCTATAGCATGGAACAACGTACACGATAGATCGTGAATACTTGTATTTATATACTTAACATTTCTGTCAGCGAATTGAAAAATCCCTTTGCGAGAGTGATAATTATCTTATGCAATGATAAAATTAGAAATATTATATATCACGAGTAATAATATAACTTTTTGGTTCGGGTTATATAAGCACGTTTACTGACGCAAAAGAGTGCATAAAATTGTAGTTACATCAGGTACATACAACTGTAGTTACACCACGTGCATAAAATTGTAGCTACATCGCGTGCATACAATTGTAGCTACATCACGTGCATACAATTGTAGTTACATCACGTGCATACAATTGTAGCTACATCACGTGCACACAATTGTAGTTACATCACGTGCATAAAATTGTAGCTACATAACGTGCATAAAATTGTAGCTACATCACGTGCATACAATTGTAGCTACATCACGTGCATACAACTGTAGCTACATCACGTACATACAATTGTAGCCACATCAAGTACATACAAAGTAAAAATAAAAATGTGTGTGTGTGTGTGTGTGTGTGTGTGTGTGTGTGTGCGTGCGTGCGTGCGTGCGTGCGTGTTTGTGCACGTGTATGAATGAAATGATAGACAAAACTGAAATTAGGTAGATATATAGGTTCTCGTTCGATGATGATAAACTCGTGGAAACTCTACCGTATTATGAATAACAACAAATTTGTTGTATTGTGATACAGAAAATGAGGAAAATGTCGACATGTTAACGGAATCATAATCGACGAACCATATTAACAAAAGAAAGATTAACACAGCATGCAAAGAGAATGATCCGATGTGTTCCTGGAAAGTAAGCGTCTTCTGCTTCAACGACGACACCCGCCATGGAAATCTTGGTCAATCTACGTAAGTAATGTAATGTTCTCAAATAAGAACAAAGTAACCAACAACGGAACCATCGTTCATAATAACGAATATCAAACAAGTCCAGCATCATATCGCACAAAGACATAGAATGTTTCTTGACGAAATCATTATGACGACAGTAAAACTTCCCGACAACCTGCATCTCTCGAAACCATGTGTCTGTCAGTTGCCGACAGCTTGCATAAAAAGTGTGATCCTTGGCACAAACTCTGGTATATCGAATCCACTGCGACATATCAACATCATAAGTTTAGGATGCAGGGTTCTCTAGAAATGGAAAACTCAAAACAGGGCTTTAGAAATCATCACACAGCGAGGTGGAAATCTGTCCCTGTTGGTGTGTTGTTAATCGAGGTGAGCTGGTGATCTTTTGTTTATTGTGAATCATAAATCACTTATGTCTAAAACTTTACTTGTTTGCAAGGATACATTTCACCGTGTTATTTGAAACTGACCACGATTACATTCCTGTTGGTATATCCTGTTCGCAAGTCAGCTATCTATATATGTCACTATCCCTGGAGGGCTCCACGTGTCGGTTTCAACATATCATGTGCAGATCTGATCTGCTAAAGGCTACCTCCCTGAGTTGAACCAGAAGTAATTATCGAAAATTAATCAGTAAATAAATAGATTAAATGAAACGAGGGCGGGTCAGTTGGAGTAGGATCGGCGACATGTGATGGAGAAATTGTGCCAAACGGTGATTAAGCTAATTAATACGACCATTTCAGACAAATATGTACAGAAGCCGTGTCTGTCAGGGACGGAATGGATCACCAGGACGCTCTCACTATAATATAACCCGTATCTAGTACAATATCCTGTACGTAGGAAGATATCCTAATCATATATCAAGGTCAATTTCTCTCTATTGCTTCCGGCGTTCATGTTCCTTAGTTAGCATATAAATCCAGGTGTAGATGGGACGGTAACTAAAATATCAAAGACAAAATCATACATTTAATTAATTTTCAGATGTTAAAGTTGTTATACTCTCATTGTTTGGGTTACTATTATTCAATCTGATGTGGCTGACTTACATTAAGTCAATATGTACGATCACAATGCTCCATAACGAATTCCATGACCTATGACCTCTAACAACGGTCTGTCTGATACGTCCAATTAATTATATAACAACATTGTTTGTTGTCTGTTGGTTTCGTTGATTTAAATCTGGGAAGGGGAACTTTTATGTACTAACTTAAGTAATGATTCTACATATACATTGTACCTGAATTGATAGATTAAGATTTACATGGCGGATGTCATCGAGGAAGCAAAAGACGATTACCGAACACTAGTCTATAATATTGTAAAACTTTCACGGACCTCAGGGGTTTTAATGACTAGAAGTGTTTATCATCGGAGGCATGGTATGTGGCAATTAGCATTTTAAATAGGGCTTCTACGACTAAATTAAAATTATAATCTTATATACAAAATGTTGAATAGACGTACTAATAAACATCGTTATGTCAGGCCAGCGAAATCTTCAATACTGGATACACAGTTCACAAACGGAAGCGGGGACAATAACGCGACCGGTTATGTTGCAGAACAGATAATTACAGGAAATAAACTATGTCATGTTAATCCTTTGAGAGAATATCTGCCAGCTAGGACGGCTTATATGACGAAGATGGGATTCGATTCAAATATTGCAATTGTGTTTTTAACATTCAAGAAGGGTTTTTGAATTTCCTGGATACATGTGTAATTACATATTAAAGGGAAAGTATAGAAGATACAAAGTGATTTTTTCAGACTCTGAAAAGACACGGCAATAGTCGCCCGTAGAGGAATGTTAAGGAATCATGTTACAGCGGATACATTGTGTTCCCAGTAGACAGTGCTTTGCGTTTTAAAAAACAATGAATCGCGGTACATCCTTCAGTAATTCCCATGATGTCACAATGTGCTAAATTTGATTTCCATTTGCTGAGAATGTGAACATAACATCCACTCCATTTTTATGAATCTTAAATTATTCCATCCAGAAAATTCAGATAATGATTTCTACAATGGAACATGTAATACTTAACACCTGGGTAGCTTTCTAGTTTGATGAATTTAATGACTTGATTTGTAATGAAATGCTGCAGTAATGAAACTATCAAAAAATGTATCTCATCTAAACGTCCCAATCAACGGCAGTATTAGGAGAACACGTTATAAATTTCCCTTATGAAGCACAAAGTTATAGTTTAGTGTTAAAAACGTGATATTTTTGTATCTTTAGCAATTTGATTGGTTACCCTGACAATCACAATTTTAGTTTTGCAAGGGAACATTTGTTGTTTAAATATTCATTTATTAAGTCATTCACCTTGTTAGCCAACCAGGTCCGAACGGCAAAGTAAGTTTATGCCGTGGCGCGTCGTCCGTACGGAGTCAACTTTTCGAATTAAACGACTTCTTCTCAAAGACTAGCGGACCAGTTGTGATGGTATTTGACTGGTAGATTGATGTTAAGTATTAGAAGCTCTTTGTTTTAAAAATTGGTTAAAGTTGATTGGATGTGAATGCAAGTGGTGTACATGTTAATATATTCTTGATATTTACACCGATTCTATTTTTGATGAATATTGAATACCAGGTCAGCGATGCGTGTCCATTTTGCCTCTTGTTATATACATTGTAACACATATATAATGATACACAAAGTATACTTGATTTTATACCTTTTCCTCTGAGCTGTCCTTTATTAAATTATGTGATAATTTTGATATAGATCCTGTAGTTTGATTACTGTAGATTATAACTGGTTTGTCACTTAATCAAGGAATCTTATAAACGTTTTATCTAATACGTCATTTTTTTGTTTAGATTCTTGAAAAGGATCAAAAAGGGACAGTTTCAAAATCGTTGCTTTATTTCTTTTATTCTGTAATTGTTATCGACACTACAGTTTATATGTCTGCATTCTAATTCATCTTCATCAAATCTCCAATGATAAATAATATCGAATTTCAGTGGATGTTTTAGTTAGTTTTGACATATGTCATATCGTTGTCAGGATCTCTCTGATTAACAATGAGAGCGCCGCCATTATTATCGCTGTCACTCAAAAGCTTGAACAGTGCCTCTACAACCGCATCGGTACTGAAAGAGAAAGTACATATTGTAAGCGCATCACTGACCTAAATGTGTACATAAGATAAATCCTTTGATAATTATAATTTTATTATAATTTTGATTATTTGATCAACGACCGGTTGGAAGAATACCTTGGTTAGTATGCAGTACAGTGAATTACTGCTGGATAAAAAGGATCCTTTTTAAATCAATAGTCATTAGAACCGTTATTCATTAAATCGACCAGATATCCAGTAGTATGTCCGTGTAGTGTCTTGGCATATGTAAGTAGTGTACATTTCTTGGCTGCGCCAGTCAGAAATCGATTTATTGTGACGTCACGATATGGACAATGACATAACATACGAATTTTATTTGGCGTCACAAAACGTCTTTGTGGCCAATGATAAAGTATTTCAGATTTGTTCTCTTTTGTTATTTGTATTTTTTTTTTTTTTTTTGAAGATATATGTTTGTTCATCTGGAAAATAACTACATCAATTTATATGGTCATAAACGTTAATGATTATATCGCGGAAGATTGAATGTGAATAAACAGTCACCAACTGTCGTGTTTATATTTTGTACAAACACTATCCAGCTACCGATGTGTTCTTGAGATACATTATGATATATCTAAACTTTAGTTACCACTGATGGTAGACTACAATATTATTGATATATAACATCTCAAAAATCCCAATTTTATACGCTGACCGATGGCAAACAAAACAGTCTACACTGTGTCCTTCGTTGGTGTTGTAAGGAATGCCGCAATAGTTTCCTCGACGTCAAACTTTGACCCTGACCGCGAGGGCACTCATTTGTAAACCGTGAGTCGTTAATAGAGGCGTACTGTGACTGTCAAGGAACGACAACTCTGTCAGTGTTTGTTTACAGAGGTGTATTGTGACTGTTAAGGAACGACAACTCTGTCAGTGGTTGTTTACAGAGGTGTATTGTAACTGTTCAGGAACGACAATTCTGGCAGAGCTTGTTTATAGGGGTGTATTGTGACTGTTAAGTAACGACAACTCTGGAAGAGATTGATTTCAGAGGTGTATTGTAACTGTTAAGGAACCACAACTCTGGTAGATATTGTTTATTGGGTTGTATTGTGACAGTTAAGGAACGACAACTCTGGTAGAGATTGTTTACATATGTGTAGTGTGACTGTTAAGGAACGACAACTCTGGTAGATATTGTTTACAGGGGTGTATTGTGACTGTTAAGGAACGACAACTCTGGTAGAGATTGTTTACAGGGGTGTATTGTGACTGTTAAGGAACGACAACTCTGGTAGAGATTGTTTACAGAGGTGTATTGTGACTGTTAAGGAACGACAACTCTGGTAGAGATTGTTTACAGAGGTGTATTGTGACTGTTAAGGAACGACAACTCTGGTAGATATTGTTTACAGAGGTCTAATGTGACTGTTAAGGAACGACAACTCTGGTAGCGATTGCTTAGTTATGTGAAGTATTTTCGGATTTTGTTAAACATCGTCTAGACGTTTTAACCACCACTCTCCAAGGCTTCCAAAAAGAAACTTAAAAAAAGAACTATGATTTGTTTTAACAAATAAAAGTTATGTAAGGAAAATAAGCCAATTTGCTGTCTACAGTGTACCTCATTAGGCTGGTGTCGTTCAGCATTTGTTTCCTTAATCTTTGTAAATCCTCGGTGATGATGTCCGTATCGACAGCCCCGGGACATATACAGGTAAATTTCACATTGTTAATCTTCATCTCCGGAATCTCCTGTGAGTTTTGTGAGAATTAATTAATATTAATTAATATAAACAATCATTCTTTGTGTAAAAACATTCGTTGTTTTGTTACAGTATACCACGACAATATAATATCACCTAAAGACATCGGATCTACGAATTATTCTTATATGTTCTCTACATTTGTTTCGCTAATGAAATCAATTTTAGGGTTTATACAAAAATCTGGATAATGTACTAGTTTTAATGTAGGTTTCGAAAATCAAAATTACTGTCCTAAATGATGATGATGATGATGATGATGATGATGATGATGATGATGATGATAGTGGTGGTGGTGGTGTTGATGATGATGACATATTTAATCATACTTCACTAAGAAGCCCACGTACCGCGAAACTTTTGGTTATTCCAAACACTCCATGTTTTGTAGCGGTGTATATCGGCAAATACGGACATGGTACGAAACCTTGAAAATAGAAATTAATGCAAGTGTGCATGATTGTTTCGTTTTTTTTTGTCCTCACAGTAATCTTATATATTTTCATATCTTCGTATAAATATCTTGATATAAACTGTCCAATTTTTACATTGTTAAAGCCACAGTTACATGTCTAATGGTATGATGTTCACAATAAGTATCCTTTTCATTGAATAATTTGAAGATTAAATAGAAAAGTTTACATTGACAAAGTTATGCTATCAGAAGAAGTGTACTGCGTTAATATCTCACCAAATAAGGAACACATGTTTATAACCATTCCTCCTTTGCCTCCATTGTCCTTCCTTAACGACTCAGCACCAAGTCTTGTTCCAAGAATGCATCCTTTCTGTTTCCATTTCAAACATAAAATGTGAAGATCTTGATCTATTTGAGTATTATTATTATGGCTGTTATCTGATTGAGAATCAAGATGTATGTGTTGTCTACTTGAGTAAAACTAGTTGGACGTTATCTGAGTATAAATAGGTGAATGTTGTCTACTTGAGTAAAACGAGTTGGACGTTATCTGAGTATGAAGAGGTGAGTGTCGTCTACTTGAGTAAAACGAGTTGGACGTTATCAGAGAAAGTATGAAGAGGTGAGTGTCGTCTACTTGAGTAAAACGAGTTGGACGTGATCAGAGTAAGTATGAAGAGGTGAGTGTTGTCTACTTGAGTAAAACGAGTTGGACGTTATCTGAGTATGAAGAGGTGAGTGTTGTCTACTTGAGTAAAACGAGTTGGACGTTATCTGAGTATGAAGAGGTGAGTGTTGTCTACTTGAGCATCATAAGGTGACCGGTAGCAACCATCGATCTTTTAATTAAAGCGATGTGAGGCGTTTTGAAATATTTCATTGAAAGAGGATTGTACAAAAGACACACATTTGAACAGCACTTTTTAATACAACTTTATAGTTAAAATATAGCACAGCCAAACAAATAATTAATCAGCATCATACAGCTGTTTCGTCCTTCTAGGACTCGTCAGTGACGCTACATCATACAACTGTTCCGTCTTTCTAGGACTCGTCAGTGATGCTACATCATACAGCTGTTTCGTCCTTCTAGGACTCGTCAGTGATGCTAACAGCTGTTTCGTCCTTCTAGGACTTCAGTGATGCTACATCATACAGCTGTATCTGACTCGTCAGTGATGTTACATCTTCTAAGTCAGTGATGCCACATCATACAGCTGTTTCGTCCTTCTAGGACTCCTCGGTGATGTTACATCATACAGCTGTTTCGTCCCTCTAGGACTCGTCAGTGATGCTACATCATACAGCTGTTTCGTCCTTCTAGGACTCTTTTAATTAAAGCTGTTTCGTCATTCTAGGACTCCTCTGTGATGTTACATCATACAGCTGTTTTGAAATATTTCATTGAAAGAGGATTCAGTGATGTTACAAAGGTTTCGTCCTTCTACACACATCATACAGCTGTTTCGTCCTTCTAACAGTGATGTTACACTTGTTTAGTGATGTTATATCATACAACTGTTATAGTTAAAATATAGTGATGTTACACAGCCAAACAAATATGTTACATCATACAGCTGTTTCGTCCTTATACGACTCCTCGGTGATGTTACATCATACAGCTGTTTCGTCCTTCTAGGACTCGTCAGTGATGTTACATCATACAGCTGTTTCGTCCTTCTAGGACTCCTCGGTGATGTTAAGTGTCTACACTTTGAAGACTAGGAAGTGACTGAAGAAAACTGAAAGTCATCGAATTAAAAGTCAAAATCTAATTGATGTTTCTCTTTCTGAATATCTGTGTGGTGTGAATCAGCATTAAACATGGACAGGTTTGTTTTACACTTATTGAAGGATTGTTTTAAAGAAATGAATATGTCAAAAAATTTTGAAAGATCTTAAGGAAAATCTAAAATTTTGAATGACCATCTACATGTAGGACAGGCAATCGTTAAGCAAATGTGATGATCTGGACCAGTGTCAACTACATCTTTATCTAGTCAACTTGTACAGGTCAAACTTGTCGATAGTCGGACATAGTTTTGTGTGATTCTTTCTACAAATAACACCTTTCTTTGGAGTTTGATATTTAGAAGATCTGTCTCTATGGACACCAAACTTTATGGCAAATTATAATGATAGACATGCAAACTCCAGGACATACGAAAATGTCAAATGCACACGTAAGGTTCTACCGGGAGTGCCGTCGCTTTTGAACGTGATGGAATGTGTCAGTGACAAGCATAGCGGCGGGTCAGTGATAGCATTACTGAAGCAGGCGTTGATGGTTTCGACAGCAGGTTCAGTGCGGCATGGGAGAAAGGGAGTGATCTTCACAGTCGCCGAGGAACATTGCCATATCTGATGAAGTCATCTTATTGGGGACATCATATGTGTGGTTGACTCCATAAACAAATGACAAGGTGATAAGCCCCTTATTAACAATATCGTTTATGTAGTGTCATACACGTATATCTCATACATGTGTAAGAAATTCTAAAGAGCACTAGAAATAAAAACTATTTATGTACAACCATGACATATATCTGAATAAAAATGTGCTTATACTGCCGATCAGGCGTGCAAGACGTTGTAGTATTACATAGAGGGTCAAAAGCGACATAAATTATAGCCAAACATGCAAATTTTATGATACTATTTATGCTTGATGTGAAAAAAGAAATAAAAAAAATCCGAATGTGGAAGGAGGTACGCTTTTGAATAAATATGTCTTTCCATGGAAGGACATATTCAAGGTAATTTAAGTGCACGTCTTGATTACAAATGAACAATTTTGCATTAAATAGTGACATCAAATAAAGGGACATCTATAACTTCAATTATTCCAAACCATGTGTTGTAAATAACTAGGTTAACTCTCAAAATCTAGTACAGAAATCGCTTTATTGCAAACATAGTTTTGGAAAAGCGGCCATGCCATTTTTAAGAAAGCTGAACGAAACTGCAAACGTACATATCTTAACACTTTTCGCACTGAAAATATTATACTCTAATTGTAGTCTATATGTTAGTTATAGGACATTTATCGTGGATGCACATATTCATCTTTACGCTAATTTGTCAAAATGTGAGAAGTGTTCAGATTTAATTGAGCAAAATTACACTTGCGAAGTACGAATATTAAAAAAAGGGAACATAGTACAATTGTTGGTTAATTTAATGACTACAATCAAATCCATTTCTGTACGTGTAAGACGCAAAAATGAAATAGTATAAATCAGACGACATCGATGTTAGGAAATCTGGATAAGATTCTATACCAATGTCACTTCTTTACGAGCACTCATCTAATTGAATATACCAATCACTTACAGGGGCGATCTTTACGTTTGATAACAGAAACAGGAAGAGTAAAAAACGGGGATTTTAAGTGATGAGCGTGATGTTAACGTTTCTGATACAAGGGGTTTACCAGAGTTCTCTACAGTACCTCTATACCTCTTATGGTCTGATCCGGCCGTGTGATTTACGCAATCTAAAGATGACATTACTACCAATATTGGTTCTTTTAAAAAAAATAAATGTTTGATTTTAAAATGTCTCTATATCCAGATCAAATATATGATATTGTAAAATAAGGATCTATGTTACATGTGTACAGAATACTTTACCACGTTACATGTGTACAGAATACTTTACCACGTTACATGTGTACAGGATACTTTATCACGTTACATGTGTACAGAATACTTTACCATGTTACATGTGTATGGAATACTTTACCATTGTTATCTAAGGAGCCATGTTACATGTGTACAGAATACTTTACCATTGCTATATAAGGAGCCATGTTACATGTGTACAGAATACTTTACCACGTTACATGTGTACAGGATACTTTATCACGTTACATGTGTACAGAATACTTTACCACGTTACATGTGTACATAATACTTTACCACGTTACATGCGTACAGGATACTTTATCACGTTACATGTGTACAGAATACTTTACCATGTTACATGTGTATGGAATACTTTACCATTGTTATCTAAGGAGCCATGTTACATGTGTACAGAATACTTTACCATTGTTATATAAGGAGCCATGTTACATGTGTACAGAATACTTTACCACGTTACATGTGTACAGAATACTTTACCACGTTACATGTGTACAGAATACTTTACCATGTTACATGTGTACAGAATACTTTACCACGTCACATGTGTACAGAATACTTTACTATTGTTACATGTGTACAGAATACTTTACCATTGTTATATAAGGAGCCATGTTACATGTGTACAGAATACTTTACCACGTTACATGTGTACAGGATACTTTATCACGTTACATGTGTACAGAATACTTTACCACGTTACATGTGTACATAATACTTTACCACGTTACATGTGTACAGGATACTTTATCACGTTACATGTGTACAGAATACTTTACCATGTTACATGTGTATGGAATACTTTACTATTGTTACATGTGTACAGAATACTTTACCATGTTACATATGTACAGAATACTTTACCAAATTCACATCCACACATTTCTCCCAATTTTCTTCATCAAGTATTCCGGCGTTATTAATGACGATATCGACCTGTCCCAATTTATCCTTTGTTACCTGAAACACATCTAAGCACATAAAAACCAAATTACATATCTATAGCATAAGATAGTAAATTACACCTCTTCTGAGTGTCCCGACAGGAATCGAACCCCCTTCCTTTTACTTTACAACTTCACATTTTACTTGGATAAGAATTCCTGAATGAGACAGTACAACATGACAGGTAAGTTTTCATTATGATATTCAGTTGAATGATTATCAAGGTAATTACAGTTAATTACTGATGGAGTGTGACCGTTATCGTTGTTGACTTCTAATCCCTGTTATCCAGTACAAATCATTAATTCATCATCATAAGGCTGTCTAGTTTAAACGGTTTAAGAGAGTATAACAGCTTTTAATCAATGGAATTTGTACATATATATATATATATAATATAGATATGTGTGTGTGTGTGTGTGTGTGTGTGTGTGTGTGTGTGTGTGTGTGTGTGTGTGTGTGTGTGTGTGTGTGTGTGTGTGTGTGTGTGTGTGTGTGTGTGTGTGTGTGTGTGTGTGTGTGTTACGTTGACAGAATGACGTCACACCATCTTATATTGTATGATTGCATTAGATAATTGTATATTAACAGTCCGCGATATATTACCCATTAGTAATCAATAACTGTGAGACCGTCAGATACGATTTCCTACAGTTGATCAATCAATCTGTATTGATTACGGTATCCAATAACTGTGAGTTGTCCTTCGGTCTAGTTATAGATAGTATAGGATCTAGTATTTAACGGTTGTAACACATAATTATATATGGTAAGTATCAATCAATATTTCCAAAATCTCTCTTCCACCCCCCCCCACCCCATCACCCCCCCCCCTCTCTCTCTCTCTCTCTCTCTCTCTCTCTCTCTCTCTCTCTCTCTCTCTCTCTCTCTCTCTCTCTCTCTCTCTCTCTCTCTCTCTCTCTCTCTCTCTCTCTCTCTCTCTCTCCCCCTCTCTCTCTCTCTCTCTTCTCTCTCTCTCTCTCTCTCTCTCTCTCTCTCTCTCTCTCTCTCTCTCTCTCTCTCTCTCTCTCTCTCTCTCTCCATCCCTCTCTTCCGTCCATCCCTCTCTCTCTCCCTCTCTCTCTCTCTCTCTCTCTCTCTCTCTCTCTCTCTCTCTCTCTCTCTCTCTCTCTCTCTCTCTCTCTCTCTCTCTCTCTCTCTCTCTCTCTCTCTCTCTCTACTTGTTTATGATTGTTTGTTAGTATATCATACTGCCACCTTGTAAATATTACGCGTTGTGCCCAATCCTATTGCTACTTATGTGCAATGAAATATGTTTAAATCAAATTTCAAATCAGTGTGTAAAGTCGTTCTTAACAAATAGCGTAATTAAGAAATCAGACAGACAGACAGACAGACAGACAGTTTCTTTATTTCCTCCATACAGAGATCACATATCTTGCCCTATTTTACAATTGATTAACACGTTTCAATAGAATAAAGGTATAAATGGAATTAAGTGGTAATATATTAAACAATCATTACTGCAATTATTGACAGTTTTACACGTTATTTACATGTTGACGTCATCATATACGTCATCTAAGAGATGTCAGTTCGCAAGAAGAATGTTTACTTCACAAAGCATGTGTTCTACACATCGTGCGACTCCAGCAATGCAATCCTCCCATTCATCGTCTTCCATCTCTATTATCACTCTGCTCCCTAGTAGAAAGAAATACTGATCGTCTTCATCCAACAAATCAAATTTTACATAATTGTTTACTGTTATCGTACTTACAATATGGTCAAGAAGCATATCTCTACTACTGAATAAGGCTGGGTATTGGATAAGAAAATGCTTTGTAGTGGTTTGTTGTTGATTTTTGGCATAGTTTACACACTCTGTCACTGTCCTATAAGAGAGCTTAACAAGCTCAGCAATTGCCCATGTCAGCTTTGGATACTTTAAGCTAACAGAGGATTCGCGCCTATATGAGGATGTATACGACTATAATGTTCCAGAAGCCCAATGTTATCACATATATTCCACCACTGAATGAAAAAATACACTTCGGTAATGTTCTTGATAAAACGCTTCCATTGCCCTGCGCTGCATTTCAATGAAGAAAATACAAATTCCATAAAGAACGAATGTATACCAAATTTTAGCATTGTCTCCGATATATCTGATAAAACTAGCTTCGTGGGATGTGTATTGTCCAAACACGAAGCTACATAATCGAACAATAAATAGGGTTTTCCAAATGAACTCACTGCTAACATTACATAACGTATTCCAGAAAAAAATAGTTTGCGTTTTTCAACCTCACACCAAACATCTGTTTGCCCAAGAGCCCTTGTAGTTATTGCTGATGGCAATGTCTTTTCGAAACCCTGACATCTCCTCGCAGCGTATTTTTGCGTATGTTCTAATTTTACCATTGATGACTTGACTGGTGCTGCCCACAGTTCACATCCGTACAGCATAACTGGTAGAACAACTGAGTTGATAATTCTTAGGCTACGAAGTGGGTTGATGCCATTCTGGTGCATCCCAATATTTATAAGGCTATTAACAGTTGCACGCCCCTTTCCGCACGAATTTACGATATGCTTGTCGGTTTAAGGTTGGAACATAATGTTATTCCCGCGTATACTTTTGATGTGTCCCAGAGTATTGGAGTATTTCCTAAACTGAACCCCTGGTTCCTTTGGAGGACGTTTCCGACAGGTAAACAGCATCAATGTTGACTTTGATGAATTGTAGTTGAGTCTCCAATCATGCACAATGTCTAACTGTAATTGTATATTCCGGATTGAAAACGCAAGGGATATGTAGATTTTGAACATTGAGTCCAAGACCGCTTACCTCTAATTTAGTTGCTAAGTTATTAATCATGACGAGGAATAGCCATGCAAAGAGAGTCCTTCCCTGACCGACCCCTTGTTCAATAGGGTACTCCTCACTCTTTTGTCCATTGTATAATACGCTAGCTGTCACTCCATGAAACGAATCTTTTAGTGTCCTCCAGAATTTTCCGTTAAAGCCTAATTTGTATACCTTGTACAGCAGTCCCTGTATCCAGACGCTGTTAAAGGCTTTTGCATTGTCAAGAAACGCTGCAAAAACTTTAGAGTTACGTTCCAGATAATGACATATTGACTCCTTTACAGTAAAGCGGCTGTTATACTGCTACATTGAGGCCGGAATCCTTGTTGAAATTTGTGCGGAAATTGACTTTTGGAACAACGCTTCACTATTCGCCTATACAAAATCTTCTTAAGAAGCTTTTGCAGCATTGATGTTAAAGTGATATCCCCATAATTATTCATGTCCAGTCGGTCTTTTTTCCCTCCTTTGAATAGTGTTATAACAATTCCCTTTCTAAAATGCCTTGGGTAAACCTCCAGATCAAAAATAGCTTTGAAGAGCATAACTATTACATTTTTAAACACAATTCCTCCATGGCGGATATGTTCTATAACAATTTGGTCGTGTCCACCTGCTTTTCCATTTTTCATATCTGTGATCGCTATATCCAGCTCCTCAACTTCTACGCGATTCATGCAAACCGTATTCTGATTAGCGAAACTTTGCTCATACATTCCATCGATTCCGCGTTCGACCTACTCTTTTAATATGGCATCAAAGTGAGGTTTTATCCCTGGCTTTGATAAATCTTCATAACGTTCTTTCCTTGCTTTCCTGCTGGTATCCGGATCGCGACTGATCTCTTCTCCGATGCGAAACTCGACTGAGGAGAAAGTTTTGCATTTATTTTCTTTTATAACTTTATAAAAGTTGCAATGTCTACTTCAGCTGTGTCTTGCAACTCCTCTAATTGCTCTTGATTACGTTGATCTTTCGCCTTATCCAAAGCTGTTCGAAATTCCCTCTTTGCTCTTTTGTACACACTGTAAGACTCAAAAGAGTGTCCTCTTGGTCGTCCCTGTTGTATCCAGTAAGCACGATATAATAGGTTACACCAGTAAGGGCCCAATAAATCAAATAAGGTTTGAAGGTTGAAATTATTAAGGTATACTGACTTCAGGGCTCAACAACTTATTTATAGTAGCTGGGACACAAAATACAAAGGAAATTAATATATGAATAATTAATGTATTTCCGACGTGTTATCAATTACCTTAGTGAACGTGTTCACATTAAGTATACAACAACACAATCCATTATACCATGCGACATGTTTCTACCACAATAACAGAAGTATTTCGACGTATTAAAAGGTATCTTCAACTTTAACAAGTAATTAACAGGTTTATCATCTTCAAAACAATAAATCGATTCACTTATTAATCCATATAAAAATAAAATGATTACACAAAACATTCCTGGTTTTTTTTATAACAACTTGTATATTTGATACAGAGAGAATATATTTTTAAATCCAATTGAAAGTTTTCAGGAGTTTTCATGCCCACTCCCTATACAATATAACACAAATGTTAGATATCATTCTTATAAAAATGTTTTCTATACTGAAACGCCGACCATTCGACGGCAAACCTACAGGATATCATATCGAACAGGTTAATGAGACACAACAGTAACCTACTTCTAAACTGGTCTTCATTCCTGACGTCACAGGTCACAAAAGTTACATTGTTGTCACCATACAATGTTGCCAAACTTTGTGCGGTTGTAGTCCCAAGTTGTTCATTGATGTCCGACAAACATACCTAGAAAGACAGAGACATTCTGTAGAAAGCATGTGTTATTCCTGACTTAATTCACAAGAACGATCCTATATATATAGATATACATCATTTATCATCAATCAAAGTTAAAAGCTACATTATAAAAAAGTATCTCACCAACAAACAGAGTAATGCCTATAATGACACAATTGTTTATACGTTTTTGAGAACGCAAGCGCGCTAGCCCATGACGATCCTTTTGACAAGTCGTCGAAAATACTTTAATGCTAGAATGTGAAAGACATTGTGGTCGTTTTAAAACTATAAATATCTCAGTCCTATTGTTCCGAATTATTCTTTACGTTCCTATTAATTGTAGTTTTGCCGTAATGTGAATGAAAATTCATTTGGAAATCCTCGCGACGTTTTATCGTTTTTCGTCGCTAGGTGCCGATGAGTTTGGTATGTACATTGGTTTAATTAATTACTTTACACTGGTCTGAAGATAATCAAGTGTATATTCCTGTTATCGAGACCTTCTTTGGAAACTGGACTTTTCCCTACGTTACGACAAGATGCCTTGGTAATAAAGGCTGATATTGCTATTAGTACTGATAGGAAAGTTTTTGAAAGACTAGTTATAATATACATTGATAATCTCTTTCTTGAAAATTCATTAATATGCGAATACCAGTCTTGTTTTCAGCCTGGTAACTCGACGGTTCATCAACTTCGTGAAATTTATCACACATGATGCGATAATTTAGAAGTGCATTCTATATGTTATAGTTATAGTGATAAATCGAAAGCATTTGATCGTGTGTGGCACAATGGACTGATTGATCGTGTGTGGCACAATGGACTGGTTGATCGTGTGTGGCACAATGGACTGGTTGATCGTGTGTGGCACAAGGGACTGGTTTATCGTGTGTGGCACAATGGACTGGTTGATCGTGTGTGGCACAAGGGACTGGTTTATCGTGTGTGGCACAAGGGACTGGTTGATCTGGGAACTACTGACAGGGAACAGAATGTTTAGTTGATACCTAATCTTCCTTGAAAACTGTTAATGCCAATGTTCCACAAGGTAGCGTCCATGGTCGTTTATCATTTATCTTTTATATCAATCACATGTCTGATTATCGTCACAGCCTCTCATTACTATTTCCAAATGACACATTACTATTACATTCTAATCCATCCCTTTACAATATCGAAACTATTATTATTCACAGATTTAGAAAAGATTCAAAACTGGGCGGGCAAATGGCTAACAAGATTAAATCCTGCAAAAACAGAGTCATTACTTACAAAATTTATTCATAACTCTATGTGATAAATATTAAAATTCATAAATGTTAGTTTAAATTTTGTAAATCAGACACTCGGGAGTTACATTAGACAAGAATAAATGTAAACGATAAAAACATATATAGAATTGTGGAAAAGGGTCAAAGCAGATTAGTTTTATTCGTAGGTTGAAGTAAAATCGACAAACATGAAATAGAATATATAAATCTTGTATCATTTCGCTGTTGTCATATTGCTGTGCTTTATGGCATGGTGTATGTACCATGTACAACTAGAGGCTGCTCGTGTGATTACGGGACTTCTGTCTTACACGGGCTCGTGTGATTACGGGACTTCTGTCTTACACAAACTCGTTTTATTACGGGACTTCGTATAATATCAACCCTTAATCACTCGTTCCCAAAAATAAAGACAAATGACTTTCTGTGACGTAATAATAGCGTTCCGGGAGGATACAACAATCCAGCCACTCAAGTAGGAATAGTAATAATAGATTTTCCGAGACGTCAGAAGAGCATGCGTGCTGATGACAGACAGCAGAAGACTCACCACGATAAATGGGAAACAATTTTAAAGTTTGTTGAAGAAATTGTTTCGAAAAATACCAGAAAAGGAACAGATATAGCTGTGAGGTTTGATGGTTATACATCTCTTGGGAAAAGTCAAGCCAGTCGATTTTTTAAAAGTCGAGTGCTGAATTGGATATGTTTTTGTTGAAATCTTTTACTGAGGCAAGAATGATAAATGGAATTATATCTCACTATGTACATGTTTTTCCTATAAGTTTTGTTGATTTTTTAGCTGTATTAAATTATCCATTAAGTTCAACATCATAATATTTTAAATCGTTGTAGGGATTCAATTGATATAGAATATTTCAAACGTTCCCACTCTCAAATGTCAGGAAGCGATCATTTTGTAATGTGAAAATATTGGGCAAATGTCATCAAATATATTAGTTATCGACGTTTTCAGGAGAAAGTGATATTTTCTGAGACCTACAAAAATATCATTTTCTCATGTTGATAAATTATCTTTTTCACCTAAAAACATGTCGATAATGATGAAGTGTGTGTGTATTTGTAATCTCTCTCTCTCTCTCTCTCTCTCTCTCTCTCTCTCTCTCTCTCTCTCTCTCTCTCTCTCTCTCTCTCTCTCTCTCTATCTCTCTCTCTCTCTCTCTCTCTCTCTCTCTCTCTCTCTCTCTCTCTCTCTCTCTCTCTCTCTCTAAGTAGGTCATTTATCACAGGTAAAAATGCCCAAAAAACATGATTTAAATTATCTTGATGTAAATAGAGTGGCGTGATGCGAGAACTCTGTTTGGACTCGGTACAAGTTACGGAGATCGCGTATATTATTAAATGCAAAAGTCACTGAATTATCACCATTTCTTACCAAAAACATCCCAATCTTTACAAGAGTTATTTTCCTGGTGTTTTTCAAAGTCTATCCTTATTATTTCTGTACCATTTCCTTCACATACCGCACTACCGTACCGCTTAAACGCTTAAAAATAGAAAATCGCGTTATTACGCGAATAAAAGTGTAATAACGTGTTTCAAAAGTCTTAATAACGCAAAAAAAGTCGTAATAACGCCTTTCAAAGGCTTTCGTAAAGTACTGAACAGAAGAAATGAAAATTGTATTCTTCTCTGTAAAAGTCATCATAACGACTTTTTTCGCGTTAATACGTTATTACGAGTTTATTCGCGTTATTACCACTTTTAAAAGGGCGTTATTACGACTTTTTTTTCGCGTTATTACGACATTTTTTCGCGTTATCACGCTTTTATTCGCGTTATTACCACTTTTAAAAGGGCGTTATTACGACTTTTTTTCGCGTTATTTCGACTTTTTTTCGCGTTATTACGAGTTTATTCGCGTTATTACCACTTTTAAAAGGGCGTTATTACGACTTTTTTCGCGTTATTACGACTTTTTTTCGCCTTATTACGACTTTTTTTCGCGTTATTACGACTTCCGAATGGCGTTATTACGACTTTCGAATGGCGTTATTACGCTTTTATTCGCGTAATAACGCGATTTTCTATTTTTTTTCCTTCGAAATTTGACCTTTCTAGGCTTTGGTATACTACACATCGTAGGGAAGAGGAACTTACACAAATCAAATGACACACTGCATGAAGGAACACCTCTACAAAAAGGATGGGTGTATACTGAAAAGTATAGTATCACGTCCGTGTCGTTTGTATTTAAATCCGCTATATTTTACAGTCACGGACGTACTTAGCCGTAGTTGGTTCAAGTTCAGATAGTGTGAACTACATGTAAATATGAACAACATGACTAGCTGACCCTGGTACTTAATTGTGCTGTGAACAAACTTTACATATTTGTAGTTGTGCCTGCTTGACCGCAGCACTAACTATACTGCCATATCATTACGGCCATTGATGACCAACTATGGTCACAGTAAGGTCTTGGCATCCAAATTCACCGTAGAGATTTTAAATATGTTTGTCGACAAAAATATTGAGACTGACTACGGTCAAACCATGGTTTTACTGAAGTTCTGTCAACGTTGATAATATTCTGTCTACTCTGTGTATGTCTAATCTCGACTATGCATGATATGGATAGCCTAGTGTCAGTTGTGAGGTCATTTTATATCAACAGCGGTGAGTGACTGTAAGAACATGCGGTTCTACATTATCATCTTTGTTTACGACGATATATATCCCGGCTTATAATTCAACAGTAATTTTATGTACAATTCTTGGTGCTGTACATACCTTGGCTCCTTTGGCAAGTACACCCGTGGCCAGTGCTTTGCCTATTCCTCTAGCCGCACCTGTGACAATAACTACTTTGTTGGTTAAGTCCATCTTTGAGAATTATTGCTGATACGGTGACAGTTAAATGCCTTTCCACAGATGACGTGTATCGATGTATGATAAAAGCAAAAAAATGAACATCGAACCGGTGTTTAAAGATCAGATATCTCCAGTCCTCTTTCGCTGACGCAGTGATGTGTTTATATAGGACTAGATTTGTCATAAATAAGAGATATGTACTTAATGTTAAACATCAAGCTGTTCATATTAATATTAATATATGCACTTTGATATACATGAATGCGGGACCCATACGTAGAGGCGTACAGCCACCAAACAGGAATCGGAGACAACACAGAAGACAAGCAGGAATAGGGAACAACACAGAGGGCAAGCAGGAATAGGGAACAACACAGAGGGCAAGCAGAAATGGGGAACGACACAGAAGACAAGCATGGATAGGGAACAACACAGAGGACAAGCAGGAATGGGGAACAACACAGAGGACAAGCAGGAATGGGGAACAACACAGAAGACAAGCTGGAATGGGGAACAACACAAAGGGCAAGCAGAAATGGGGAACAACACAGAGGACAAGCAGGAATAGGGAACAACACAGATGACAAGCAGGAATAGGGAACAACACAGATGACAAGCAGGAATAGGGAACAACACAGACGACAAGCAGGAATAGGGAACAACACAGACGACAAGCAGGAATAGGGAACAACACAGAGAGCAAGCAGGAAGGGAACAACACAGAAGACAAGCAGGAATGGGGAACAACACGGAGGGCAAAAAGGAATAGGGAAGAACACAGAGGGCAAGGAGGAACAGAGAACAACACAGAGGGCAAACAGGAATAGGGAAAAACACAGAGGGCAAGCAGGAATAGAGAACAACATAGAGGGCAAGCAGGAATGGGAACAACACAGAAGACAAGCAGGAATAGGGAACAACACAGAAGACAAGCAGGAATAGGGAACAACACGGAGGACAAGAAGAAATAGGGAACAACACAGAAGACAAGCAGGAATAGGGAACAACACAGAAGACAAGCAGGAATAGGGAACAACACGAGGGCAAGCAGGAATGGGGAACAACACAGAGGACAAGCAGGAATGGGGAACAACACAGAAGACAAGCTGGAATGGGGAACAACACAAAGGGCAAGCAGAAATGGCGAACAACACAGAAGACAAGCAGGAATAGGGAACAACACAGATGACAAGCAGGAATAGGGAACAACACAGATGACAAGCAGGAATAGGGAACAACACAGATGACAAGCAGGAATAGGGAACAACACAGACGAAAAGCAGGAATAGGGAACAACACGGAGGGCAAGCAGGAATGGGGAACAACACAGAGGACAAGCAGAAATGGGGAACAACACAGAAGACAAGCTGGAATGGGGAACAACACAAAGGGCAAGCAGAAATGGAGAACAACACAGAAGACAAGCAGGAATAGGGAACAACACAGATGACAAGAAGAAATATGGAACAACACAGAAGACAAGCAGGAATGGGGAACAACACGGAGGGCAAAAAGGAATAGGGAAGAACACAGAGGGCAAGGAGGAACAGAGAACAACACAAAGGGCAAACAGGAATAGGGAAGAACACAGAGGGCAAGCAGGAATAGAGAACAACACAGAGGGCAAGCAGGAATGGGAACAACACAGAAGACAAGCAGGAATAGGGAACAACACGGAGGACAAGAAGAAATATGGAACAACACAGAAGACAAGCAGGAATAGGGAACAACACAGAAGACAAGCAGGAATAGGGAACAACACAGAAGACAAGCAGGAATAGGGAACAACACAGAGGACAAGCAGGAATAGGGAACAACACAGAAGACAAGCAGGAATAGGGAACAACACAGAAGACAAGCAGGAATAGGGAACAACACAGTCGACAAGCAGGAATAGGGAACAACACAGAAGACAAGCAGGAAAAGGGTACAACACAGAGGACAAGCAGGATTGGGGAACAACACAAATGGTAAGCAGAAATGGGGAACAACACAGAGGACAAGCAGAAATAGGGAACAACACAGATGACAAGCAGGATTGGGGAACAACACAAATGGTAAGCAGAAATGGGGAACAACACAGACGGCAAGCAGAAATGGGAAGAACACAGAGGGCAAGCAGGAATAGAGAACAACACAGAGGGCAAGCAGGAATGGGAACAACACAGAAGACAAGCAGGAATAGGGAACAACACAGAAGACAAGCAGGAATAGGAAACAACACGGAGGACAAGAAGAAATATGGAACAACACAGAAGACAAGCAGGAATAGGGAACAACACGGAGGGCAAAAAGGAATAGGGAAGAACACAGAAGACAAGCAGGAATAGGGAACAACACGGAGGGCAAAAAGGAATAGGGAAGAACACAGAGGGCAAGGAGGAACAGAGAACAACACAGAGGGCAAACAGGAATAGGGAAGAACACAGAGGACAAGCAGGAATAGGGAACAACACAGAAGACAAGCAGGAATAGGGAACAACACAGAAGACAAGCAGGAATAGGGAACAACACAGTCGACAAGCAGGAATAGGGAACAACACAGAAGACAAGCAGGAAAAGGGTACAACACAGAGGACAAGCAGGAATGGGGAACAACACAAAGGGTAAGCAGAAATGGGGAACAACACAGAGGACAAGCAGAAATAGGTAACAACACAGAGGGCAAACAGGAATAGGGAAGAACACAGAGAGCAAGCAGGAATAGAGAACAACACAGAGGGCAAGCAGGAATGGGAACAACACAGAAGACAAGCAGGAATAGGGAACAACACAGAGGACAAGCAGGAATAGGGAACAACACAGAGGGCAAGCAGGAATGGGAACAACACAGAAGACAAGCAGGAATATGTGACAACACAGAGGACAAGAAGGAATAGGGAACAACGCAGAAGACAAGAAGGAATAGGGAACAACACAGACGACAAGCAGGAGTAGGGAACAACACAGAAGACAAGCAGGAATAGGGAACAACACAGAGGGCAAACAGGAATAGGGAAGAACACAGAGGGCAAGCAGAAATAGAGAACAATACAGACGACAAGCAGGAATAGGGAACAACACAGAAGACAAGCAGGAATAGGGAACAACACAGCCGACAAGCAGGAATAGGGAACAACACAGAGGGCAAGCAGGATTAGAGAACAACACAGAGGGCAAGCAGGAATGGGAACAACACAGAGGACAAGCAGGAATAGGGAACAACACAGAGGGCAAACAGGAATAGGGAAGAACACAGAGGGAAAGCAGGAATAGAGAACAACACAGAGGGCAAGCAGGAATGGGAACAACACAGAAGACAAGCAGGAAACGGGAACAACACAGAAGACAAGCAGGAATAGGGAACAGCACAAAGGACAAGAAGAAATAGAGAACAACACAGAAGACAAGCAGGAATAGAGAACAACACAGAAGACAAGCAGGAATAGGAAACAACACAGAAGACAAGCAGGAATAGTGAACAACACAGAAGGCAAGCAGGAATAGGGAACAACACAGAAGACAAGCAGGAATAGGGGACAACACAGAAGACAAGCAGGAATAGGGAACAACACAGAGGACAAGCAGGAATAGGGAACAACACAGAAGACAAGCAGGAATAGGGAATAACACAGACGACAAGCAGGAATATGGAACAACACAGACGACAAGCAGGAATAGGGAACAACACAGAAGACAAGCAGGAATAGGGAACAACACAGAAGACAAGCAGGAATAGGGAACAACACAGTCGACAAGCAGGAATAGGGAACAACACAGAAGACAAGCAGGAAAAGGGTACAACACAGAGGACAAGCAGGAATGGGGAACAACACAAAGGGTAAGCAGAAATGGGGAACAACACAGAGGACAAGCAGAAATAGGTAACAACACAGAGGGCAAACAGGAATAGGGAAGAACACAGAGAGCAAGCAGGAATAGAGAACAACACAGAAGACAAGCAGGAATAGGGAACAACACAGAAGACAAGCAGGAATAGGGAACAACACAGAGGGCAAACAGGAATAGGGAAGAACACAGAGGGAAAGCAGGAATAGAGAACAACACAGAGGGCAAGCAGGAATGGGAACAACACAGAAGACAAGCAGGAAACGGGAACAACACAGAAGACAAGCAGGAATAGGGAACAACACAGAAGGCAAGCAGGAATAGGGAACAACACAGAAGACAAGCAGGAATAGGGAACAACACAGAAGACAAGCAGGAATAGGGAACAACACAGAAGACAAGCAGGAATAGGGAACAACACAGAAGGCAAGCAGGAATAGGGAACAACACAGAAGACAAGCAGGAATAGGGGACAACACAGAAGACAAGCAGGAATAGGGAACAACACAGAGGACAAGCAGGAATAGGGAACAACACAGAAGACAAGCAGGAATAGGGAATAACACAGAGGACAAGCAGAAATAGGTAACAACACAGAGGGCAAACAGGAATAGGGAAGAACACAGAGAGCAAGCAGGAATAGAGAACAACACAGAGGGCAACACAACACAGAAGACAAGACAACACAGAGGACAGGAATAGGGAACAACACAGAAGACAAGCAGGAATAGGGAACAACACAGACGACAAGCAGGAATAGGGAACAACACAGAAGACAAGCAGGAATAGGGAACAACACAGAGGGCAAGCAGGAATAGGGAACAACACAGAAGACAAGCAGGAATAGGGAACAACACAGAGGACAAGCAGGAATAGGGAACAACACAGAAGACAAGCAGGAATAGGGAACAACACAGAGGTCAAGCAGGAATAGGGAACAACACAGAGGGCAAGCAGGAATGGGAACAACACAGAGGACAAGCAGGAATAGGGAACAACACAGCAGGAATAGGGAACAACACAGAGGACAAGCAGGAATAGGGAACAACACAGAAGCAGGAATAGGGAACAACACAGAGGAAAGCAGGAATAGAGAACAACACAGAGCAGGAATAGGGAACAACACAGAAGACAAGAACAACACACAGAAGACAAGCAGGAATAGGGAACAACACAGAAGACAA